ACCCCCCCCCCCCCCCCCCCCCAGCCCAGGAACCCAACAGCACTTGCAGCTTTTAGATCGGCAGGATTCTTTCAATTGAAACAAAGCCCCATCCTGAAAACATCTGTGTAAAGGTTTCAAAGCGCTCTAGCTACAACCAAAACCCCTAAAAGCGCTCTAGCATTCCCGGGAAAACTCATCACTCAGAGAACCAACAGGAGTTTCGGAGCTGCGGGATAAACGCGAAGGATACGGAGTGGTTTCAATAGTTGTCTGGTCCTCTAGGATGTTTATTCTGACGTGTTCAGTTGCTTTAAACTGCTCCTCAAATCTATCAAAGGCCCTCCCAAATCGGAGGCTGACTTTGAAGACTTGAGGCTGTGCTGAAGAGAGAGGTGCTAGTATCGGTTTCAAAGCAGAAAACTGCAAAGTATGTTCCACCTGCTAAGAGATGGAAGTGTCTGGTCCCAGTTTAGTGTCCACAGGGGACTGTCATCCACAAGGACGAATGAGGAGTCCGCCGAGTGGCTTTGATTAGAAGTTTCATTTGCCTCCAAATAAACATCATTATTGAGTAGGATGTTATTGTTTAGGAGGCTTGAAGGAGAGGAAATGTCCTGGGGCCAAAATGGACTCCCATGCAAGTAGGTGGACGGGAAAATAAACTAACAGTGAAGGGTTTGCAGAGACCTGCACCCAAGCCACTTTCCCTCCAACACTGCCAGTGCCCTTAGCCCGCGTTTGTGATGTGCCTGCCCGAGAGCATTCACAAGGGAAATAAAGTTGCAATAAAACTATCGCATCTTACCCCCCACTGCCTCCTCCTGCAGCAGTGCCCATCACAGACTCTGCTGTCTGCTCTACACGGAAGGAAGAGGAAAGAAGAGCTCTGGAGCTTTTGTTAGTTTATTTTGGTACCCTGGAGGGAGGAGGGGGCATCATGATTAGGTTTCAAACTATCCTGGGACCTTTTTCTCTCTCTTTTTTTTTTTACGGGTTTTTCATTTTTGAAACGTTACAACTGATTTTAATGACAGGGTGTATTCCGGCCAAAGGGAGGGGGGAGGAAGTTTTATAGCATTTCATCATCATTCAGGCGATGCCATGTGCTCTTGCGTGTTAGCATTTAGTGGTTCAAAGTGATTCAAGCAGCTAAATTCGTTCTGCCCACAATAACGCCATCAAACATTAACATATACAGCGCACGCACTCGTCCCAGCTCCCCGGGCCCCGGCAGGGTCCCAGCGTCCGCAGATCGCTCCTTCCTGCCAGGATCTCAACTGAACCTGCCCTGGGCTCTGACAGATCCCCCCAAAGCAGCAGTAATGAAAATAGAAAAAGAAAAAGAGCTGCATTGTACTTTATGGGGCCGTCTGGAGGCTGAGCACAACTCAAGGCTCCAGCAGCCAAGGCCAAGTTCATGCGGCGCAAGAGGAACAGGAGACACCTATTGGCAAGAAGTCGCATTCAAACCTCAAGGCTGCTTTGGGGAAACACCAGGGGGACA